CTAATCTTTAGGCATACGGAACACTTCAAGATGAAGGATTTCCCAGAGTTCTTTTGTGTGAGGATTGCTTCAACAGACTTTCATTCTTAAATATCACTCAGAAGACTAGGCAATGATGGAAGGATATTAAAATGGATCTTAGGGTAAAAGTGTTGAGGGTGGAGACTGGATTCATTTGGCAAAGAATAGGGACTTGTGATTTGCTCTTCTGACCATGGTAATGAACTTCTGGGTTCTATAAATAATTACAATACTCTTTTAAAGGTACAAGGGGTTCAGTAACATAACCTGGATGGCTTTGTTAACTCCAAGTCCACATGGTCCAACAGTGAATCTCTATTAATTATGTCTGTTTAGACAAGTCCAAATTGAACGCTGGCCAGGGTGACCAATTTTAACTAAGCCACTGTTTTAGTTTCACATTTCATACAAAGTGAAATGGTAAATGATATAAATTTTGTGTGTTAAGACAGGATTAGGCCTAGGGCTAGTAAAATGGGCATGTGTTTTTCTTCTTGTTTTCTATATTAAAGTAAGCCTTTTAATCACAGAATTACTGAATGTACAGCATATACATACAAAATTAGATAATGTCAGTACATTAACACAACATTTACATGTAAATATATCATAATCTGTTTAAGTAACATTAAAATATAATTACAATATCTAATGGCTGGTAAATTATGAACATGAGATAGCTTGGAAGTAACAGACATAACGCATAAATAAAAACTTAACTAAAACTTTGTTACACCTGCAGTCAATTTTTACAAAATCACTTAAAAACCAAATAGCATAAATGAATAACAATTTTAACTATTCCTTTGCCTGCAACTTATTCCAGTACATGTTTCTCAATTACAGATTCATACTGTACTTCAATAAATATTAAACTAAAGTATAATTGTGTTAAATAACAGAATATGCACAGTACTGGTGGTTATTCAGAGTCCACTTTCCTTTATCAAGTGCACTACAACAAAGTCAAGCTTCAACACAGTCAAGCTTTAACACTATTTTTGTATCTAGTTTGCACTCGTACTTTCTGAACAATGAAAGATCATACATTGACAACACACACGGTAAATCACTGAAATTTCTGTTGCAGCTTTTGCTGTTTCCAGCGTTCAACTCCTAATATCCTTCCCGTCCTTTGAATTCAACAATGACCATCCATGAAACCATTGGTAAATTTAAATTTCATCAACTGTATCCTCTTACTAATATAGCCTCATAGCTAAATCAGCAAAATGTGGTATGGATACATGCGTTCAGTATGCACAGAAAATTTAAAACATTCTGATACAGAAAATCTTAATCATGTGGTGCTGACAATAAACACAATAAAGCAAATGCAGATTATTACATATTTAAACTTCTTAATGTGCTTGAATGTTATCCACACTTGAATGTTTGTCACCTATTTTAAACATAATGACAAGTTATATAAATAACATCAACTGTCACTTCATGATTCTCACACATGAAAATGGCATGTCATTTAGGAATATAATTTTACCAAACATGTAAGTTAAATGAAATACAAATCTTTGCACTGTGTAGTGTAAGTTAGTCATGTTCTCAAACACACTTGTTTCATATAGAAGTAACTGTTATATTGCATTCAACAAGTATTCTTAAGATCTGTTAATCCAGCTCATGAAAGGATCATACTGTAATATTGATTTCAATATCAATCAACAGTTACATCATAACAATTACTTCTTTCAAAGAATAAAAACAAGTGGTAACATTTTGGAAGAAGTGATCACAATGGAAGGAAAAGCCCAGAGTTACAACAGGCTGAACAATTACAAAATTGTACTTCACATATAAGGCAATATTTTAATTTTCTATAACTTGGGTAGACAAGCTGTTCATAAGACATCATATAGCAGCTGTGGTACCCACTGTACCAGTGAAGATGCCTCACTAAATGAATATATCATAACATATTTTTAGTTCAGAACTTCAATTCTGCCAGCCACTTTCTCCCCCATTTCCTGCGCAAAATCTTTGATAAAGTCCTATGAGGTACATAAAATGGGATTTATGTTTCAAAGGTTATAATCTTTAAAATTTCCTTCCCAGAATTCACAAGGAACACCAATTTGTTAATTCCAATAGCAGAGATATAAAGTACATCTTCTATTTTCTTAAGATGGCTCCCAAGATTTATATTCAATGAACACTTTTATAAATCACAAACAATTATTCTTGAAGAAGCAAGCAATAGGAACATTAAAATAATGAGTAGGCCTATACATATGTTATGCTGACCATGTTATCATAGCAGTTGTCCAGTTTCACTATTATTACTTAAAGATGTATCCATAGAGCAATGTTCAACAAACATATAAATGTTAAAACACCAAGGTTCTTTCTGAAAGTTACAAATTTACAGGTAATGCTAATAACACTGTGTGCACACAAAAACAATTTGAATACACTAACTCTATACAATATCGATCAGTACACATAGTTTAATATATGTACTTTGAAACAATGAATAGTATGGTGGTAAGAAATAAGCAATAAACATATTGTTTTCTTCTAAGAAACCATGGAAGTCATGAACATGTTCATTTCTTTTAATAACAGTAATAATAATATTTATTATTATTATTATTATCCCATCTATTCACCACTTTATGGGGTATGTACTTCCATGTACCAGAGACAGACCTTGTCCCTAAGGTACATAATAATAATGGTGGAAGTGATGATGATGGTATAATAATTCTAAAAGTGGTGAGCATGTACATGACACAATGTTATAACTGGAGATATGATAAAATTCAATTTACTTACAGCAGCCATAAAATATATAACAATAAACCTATACTGCAAGTGAATTATGATGGAGACACTAATTCACTTAAAAATTATCACTGTGGAAGTAAAACTCTCTGACTTCTGCCATCCCAGTACTCTAAAACTGTATTTGGTTGGTAAAAAACCTGTGTCTTAATCTTGTATATCAAAATGTTACTATAAATATGGTATTTAATATTCCCGGTAACATTTATGTTCTATTTCATACATCCAAACATGTTATCCATTGGTAAATTAGCCAAACATAGCCATACAAGATTCCCACAACCCATAATAGTGCAATAATTTCAACCAAATTGTATGGGGTTTCATTACAGACATATAAATACTATGCACAGCCCAACAACAAGTTGATAATTATTTCTGTGCCATTTCTAAATTCTACAGCCTACTGAATATGGAATCAAATTTAAAAGCACAACATTCATGATATAAATATTGTATACAAGTACAAAATACAAAATATTTAATAATATATAACATTTAGGTTTAAGACATGGTACTTTGAATTCAAAAGTTTCAAATGTTCTGTTCCCATGATTATGTATAATGGCTTCTACAGCAATGAGTCATAATTTTTGGAAAAGAGATTGCTCCAGGTTGAAAATTATTTTGATAATAAAATCACAATGTCATCATTTCAAGTTACAGAATTCACTGCCAACATTTTTTTATAATGTTCTCCTTCAAAAATTTACTTCTGCAACAATAAAGAGAAAGTTTATATTAATTTTACAACTTAAATCAGATTTGTTATCAGTGCAAAGTGCCATAAAAATTATCACATTTCGTGATTTACCAAACTCCAGCAGTACATCAATTACATAACACCTTTTTTTTATCAACATTACTGCAAAGATAACACTCCTCAGACTTCTTCCCCAGCTACTTTAATTTTGTAACCTGTCAATACCACACAGACATGTACAAATAAAATTTTGTGTTAGAGTTGTTCCAGTGGACAAGAACACGCTTCTTTTATGTGCAGCTTCAATTTCTGCAAACTATGTATTAATAATACTTTATCAAATTACTGAACTGGTTGTGCAATTTTAAACCCATCACATGCCAACAATCATTTTCAGTAGTCTTTGTATGTCTAGCAAGCTGGGAACATTTACAAAAACATTAGAGTAATATTAATATTCATACTAATACAGTTTTCTAAAATTAATTCATACATCAAGATGATGTATGGTATTTCACATTTTACTTGTCCATCAGTTGGGCTCTTGCTTATGATTTCCATTACTGTAGTTCAGGAAATGGCTGAACAGAACAGTAAGTCATAAAATGCTAGCTTCTACAAGCTGATGAAAATAATTCTGTAACACATGGAGTCTGGTAGAATAAACCAATGGGCCCCAATGATGGAAGCAGCAAGTACCTCTGAAACGTTAATAAACTCTACGACACCATGGCATACAACCCAGAAGAAAGCCATCTTTATTTTAAAACACTTGCTTCACAAATGACAGTAGGCATTACTGAAGTTTTTAGTACCTTTCAAGTACTCAGTTATAATATCATTGTTTCAGAATATTCTTAATCTCAGAGTACCTAATAACCAACTCCTAAATATCAATCTAGACAAGCATATAAGCCTTAGAACTTGAAGCATTTGTTCCTGCAGGCCAAGGTATCATGAACTGCACATATTTGTTCTTCAATAAATGTGACGAAGCAGAGATTATTGTATCAAAAAAGTACATTATTTTTTTAATGTACTTACATATTATATATTAACTAGATAATGTTTATGCTTGGTTAATTATTAAATAAAACAATATAAAGCAAACTTACTTGTAAATTACTACTTGAATTAAAAAGTAAATTATCCACTAGTACTAAGAGTGTCCTGTCTCATAATCAGGAAGGCAAGGTTATGGAAATCTGAATTTTCATATTTTCATGCTATTCTAGATATGATAAAATGTAGAAGTCATGACCCCATACTTATCCTCCACACATCCACTTACTGTACCATTTAACTAACAAGAAACCTCTCCTTTCTTCTCAATAATATAACTTATTACAAAATTCATTATCAGAGCCAGTGAAAACTGCAGAAGGCAACCATCTGATGACAATAATAACTGATTTGCAAGTATATCTATATACAATTTTTAAATAGACCTTTTAGAGTTTTTACTGTAATACATTTTTAATAAGAGTCTTGGGAGTAAGCCAAGCACTTTCCAATACCAGAATAAAAACAAACTCACTAATGAAATCAAATGACCTCTTAAATAGCAATAATGGTGACACTAACTTGTGTCCATAAATTTTAGTTACAGTAATCAAGAGATGTGACCTTTCAACACTGGCATAACAGGCATTAATAATTGTCACTCACTGATCACTGCAAAGTATTTAACATTGCAGTCTGAAATACACTGTTACACAAAGGAATATATTTTATAAATACAACAATTCATTATCATTTCATTCTACACTGAATACATAAAAACATACTGAATCGATGATTTCAAAAACAACATAAGTCAAGAATCACAAACTCTTCAGGAGACAAAAAAAAGTGATCAGAACTTCTAATTGCATTGATAAGAAGTACCCATATTCAGAAAGTGCAGGGAGTGTTTCACTGAATGTTTAAGCTCCATAAAAACCCTTTTCAAACCAGGCTTATTGCATATACTGTTATTATTAATTACTATTAGAAAAAAATTGTGCATTTGTATTTTATATTTTAGTTATACATAACTTCTGCAATACACACCTAATTTACATAAGGAATAATGTATAGCATATTATTATAGTAACTCATTAAGCAATGCAAAAAAGGCACATAAAGAAATAATAAGGCTATGTGCAAAATAAATTAAATTCAACTTTAAAATGGGTATAACAAATCTAACATAAGAAGTATGTAAGAAAAAAACAGGGAAAGAAAATCATCCACAATTTTATAAATTTAGTTTTGCATCTCTGTATTAAGCCAATTTCTTGGGTCAGCCACTCTAATAAGAATCCTAAGCTATGAAATCAGTAGAAACGTGGCTTACTCTTTCAGCTTCTTTATGTATTCCTGCTTTATAATGTTAATTAAGAACCATCCTCTGACAACACATTTGATCTACAAACAGAGGTAAGCTGACCTCTAGGCAGCCCTACCAGGCTTACACTGGTCAAAAAATTTTCTTTTTTACAATGTTCATTTTCACAGCAAACTTTAAAATAAAATACTTTAATTTATTTGTTCTGCCTGTCACAGCTGCCAATTCACAGAAAGAACACAAACAGCATTAGTCAATGACTTTTGTTGTTTCTCTTTCAAATCCTGAATACCTGAATTTAAAAATTTAAGAGGCTGACAGAATTCTCTTGATTTCTGCAATGTGTAATTACTTTCATAGAACACATTCAATAAAGTAATTTGATTTTGAAAAAAGTCACTTACATTGTTTCTGCAATCATCAATTCAATTTTGAAACAAAACTACAATCTGAAATATCCACAAAATTTTAAACTAACATAAACACTTAACAGAACAAGTTTTCCAATGTAAGGTTAACTCAATGTAACCACTAGCTCTTCAAGCAACTATGTTAAATATCAGTCTGCTTAGGTATTAATACTATTTATGAGGTACATTCCCTGTTTTATTTGGAATTTTAAAAGCAATTTTGTAGTATTCTACACAGTATACAGTAACTATAACTGTTAAAAATGAGAAGACCACAATTTTCTTGATATTTTTACTCAGAAATAAAGTAATTTATTGATTTCACCTAAGATATTTAATTATAACTCCATACCAAAAAATAATGTTTACAGAACAAAAACTGATTCAGACTTACATATATTTACAGTACCAATGGTTAAGTGTATATATTTAACTACAAACTGATACTTCCTGCCACAACAGGCCTATGTGTGTGTATGATTTTAGAATTCCATAATTGTGTTGTATCAGATGAACACTATGCTTCTGTACATATGATGCTGCTGCTATATTTCTTTCCATAAATTCTGTATGACAATAAATACAAGTCTGTTTAAACATATACCTAAATAATAATAGCCATTATAAAGACTGTAGCATAAATGCAGATAAAAACATTAGGATCTTGAATGTAATCCACAACAATATCAATTTTTGAGAATGTATGAACATCAGATTTATCAAAAAGTGAAAATATGTGATCCTTTTCAAGTGAAAAGCAATGTTAAAGCTTTATATAACCAATTTTGTGAACTTTCATTGTGTAAGACAGCTGACTGAATCAACTACACAAATTTGTCCCTTTAAAAATAATGACTAATCATGTTACTACATATAGTAAAATTCAAATGAAACAAGTTAGGTATATTCAAGACATGAATATGTGTAAATGTATGCAAGTAATCAGATTCAGGATTTAAGCCTTTTAGACATATCCATTAACTGGCAATTACACAAGCAACTGGATCTTAATACACAATCACAGCAAAGGGACTTCTCTTTCTTTAGAAGAAAACCTGCATGTACTGAATGTAAATTACAATTAAAAATCTTCTCATATATAAGTAATGTATAAATACATTAAATATAAACATAATAGTTTATTTAAACAATTTAATCTTTAAACTATACATCTTTTAAATGGTATATTGATAAACTTGTAGGATATCACAGGATGCTGTTTCTTCCTTGAGCAATGACTGGCACTGTCAAAGAAACTTTGATTTTAATTTCTTTCGCTTTTTTTCTAGTTGTACAAATTGGTTTGATTCACTTGACAGAGCTTGAAATCTGCTAATAGATGTTGTAAGACTTCTCAGTGAGACTTTGCCATTTTTTCTGCCTGAATCTGTATTTTTCCTCTTTTGCAGTGTCTTAATAGGTAACAAATGTGGGAACCATCCCTTACCCTGTTTCTCAGATTTTGTACTATACTTGACTTTACTGCCACTGCCAATACACTTAGAGTTAGGTACGGGAGCTCTAGTGACAGGTGTTACTGGTTTAACATTACTATTTTGTGGCAATGGCTTCTTCCTTGTATGTTTTCCCCTTATCTTTGGAGAGTTTTGATATGATGAATCTAAGGATACATTCTGATTTGAGTCCCAGAGAATATCCACTTTCTGGCTCAAAATAGGAGATTCAGCATTATCAACCAAGTTCAATGACTTCATATTTACATCATACTTGTTACTGAACTTTTTTTCCTTACTTACCTTAGTCACGCAAATGTCTTTACGTTTTGCCTTGTTTTTTAAAACTTCACTTTTAAATGAAACTTCTGAAAGAGGCAAACTCCTACAGGTATTTTCAGTTTTAAAAGAAGACATTTTTAAACGCTTTGGACCTTGTTTAACAACAGTTTGATCTGATATAATCTTCTGTTCATCCTTTGCACATCCAGTTTTATTAACTGATGAACAGGACTTAGCATTCATGTTTCTAATACCAACTTGGTTGGACCCTTTCTTTCCTCTACATTCTGATATACCCTTGGCTGAACGCACTTCTGAAAAGGTACGTTCCTCTTGACTTCCTCCTTCAGATAGCCTTGTTATACTTGACCTTCGAAACTTGGAAATACGAATGTTTGAAGGTGAGGAAACTTGAATTCCTTTCTTTGCCACTGCCACACTTCCTAGAGCTGTGATTCCCTCCATCCTTCCTGTGTTGATGCTACCTTTCACCATTTTGGAACCACCTCCCAAGGAACTTATGGTTGCACACTTGCTCTGAACAACCAGGACTTGTTTTAACACCCCACTGCTAGAACTCTGAGCACTTTTTAATTTCTTAGGTGTTCCTGAATAACTCTGTGAAGAGCAAGGTCCAATGTTCTCTTTAGGTTCAGTAAAAGCTTTGGTAACTTTTACACAGGAAGATGACTGTGAACATGAACCAGTCTGAAAACTGGACATGTTCTCCTTTCGTTCAGAATCTTCACCAACATTTTCAATAGTACCATTCACAGATTTTAGATCTGCATGACACAGAACACCAATGTGTGAACTGCTGGAAACCTTGATAGGACCAGTCTTAGACTCAGAAGACTTGGTAACAATAGGAGCAAGACGTCGGGTCCGCACACAGTTTGTATCAGGTTTGTTGGTTGTTAGACGACTCTTACTGCTTGAAGGATGCATGAAGCGTGGAGGCACCCCAATAGACATTCCAGCCATACCACCAACCTGACAAAGATGAACCCAATGGGTTGTGTCTCCTGTCAGTATGCAATTCTGGGGATTGATTTCAAATTAAATAACATTTCTGTCAATTGTGGAAACAAGAAAATTATGAATAAATTACAATGAATATTATGGACAGAAAATGTAAAATTTAAAGGAAGCATCAACTACCAAACAACGGAAATACTTTCTGTTATATGTTACATATATACATTAATTATTTATGGTGAAATGGATGTATTTTTGTAAATAAAGTAATGCTAAGAATTTCACTCATGCAAGCACTGATTACTACAAAGCATACATTTTCCTTAAATGTCATGTTCTTTACTTTAGGAGGAGGGAGTAGAAGAGTAGGGGCATGTCAAAGGGTTAATTTAGATTTATAAAAGCAGAGGCAATATTAACCACCTCACAGTTTTTTCCCTCAAAAACATACAAACAAGAAAACTACATAAAACCACAAAAATCACACCTGCTGTTAATGGATCCATTTATACAGGACTCACAATTCAATTATACCTATTTCTACATTACCATTCAGTAAGAAAAATTAATAGTGTTCTGCATAAAATAAGTGGCCAGGCACTCTCACCCAAACAAAAGTTATTATTATTATTATACGATTACATCACTCAGACGCATAAGGATGCTAAGCTCAATATACTGTACACCTGTCTATACTCCAAATATGAAACACATTATGGAGCTTTCAAGTATGTGCGAGTACCATTTCAATTTGAGAAACTGATTTACAAAATGGTATGACTAAGATAATACAATTCTTGAAAAGATATACAGTGAGTTCTTTTAACAGCACAGCCATAAAGCATACTTTACAGGTCAGCTGCCCTTGATGGACTAGTGGTTAGTGTGCTCGCCACTAGACCCAAGGTTCGCGGGTTCGATGGACTTTAAAGGGTGATAAAAATCCGTAGCACAACTTCCTTCGGAAGGTAAGTGAAGACAGCGTTCCCATGTCGTACATTTGCCGCTTGTAAAAGAATCTTATGATGAACTGGGACAGCTCAGTCAGTATAGTGACTAGCTACGGGCTGGACGGCCTGGGTTCGATCCCCGATGGGGGCAGAGGATTTTTCCTCTAGCCTCTGCGTCCAGACCGGCTCTGGGGCCCACCCAGCCTTCTCTACAATGGGTACCGGGGGTCCTTTCCCGGGGGTAAAGCCGGCCGGAGCGTGATGCCAACCACTCACCCCCATCTAGTGCCGAGGTTTGACACCTGCTCCCATTGGCTAGGGGCAGGCTACTCCATCAACGGTCTGGCTCCTATAAACCTAGCCTCACACACCCAACTGGCACATTTATCACCCTGATGACGGAGGCAGTATGACCTCTGAAACGTTGGTAAACATCGAGCAGACTACACAGTGCAACAACCCAGAAGATAGAAATCATCATACTCACTGCTGTGAAAACCTCAAATCTTACAACCTTTCAGGCACCTGTGTCTGGGCATGGCCTTTCCACTATTCACAATCCCTACACTGGTCACAATTTCTCCTGTCAGCTGTGACAAACAACTCTCAACTACAACTCCTGTTCAAAATGTCTGAAATGAAGACATGGTGAAATACCTGTATTTACACTTCTTGGTTAGATAAGTGACAGATGCTAAATCACAGTTATGCTGAGTACAACCTAGCAGAGCCTCCCTATTCTGATACACAAAATTGTAAAGCCATGATATAGATGGTATGCAACATTAATTTTACATAAATATCGCATAAAAATTGGGAAAAAATGTGACGAGTTTACAATGAAGAGTCAGCAGTTATGATAAGACGAAGAGTGAATATTCACATTTCACTCAGTGTTGTACAAGATTTCCTTTGCGTAGAACAATGATAATTTTATACTAGAGCATTAGGAGTCTTTACATCAAGTAAGATTTCAGGTTCTCATGGTTACAAGTATGATGATGACAAATCTTCTGGGATATTGCACTATGCAGTCTTGTACAAGCCGATTGGCACTTCAGAGGTGCTTACTGGCTCCATCATCAGGATGAAGACGGAGAGTAAGCACTTGAGAAATGTCAGTCAACTTATACAGACAACACAGAGCAATATCCCAGAAGTCTGTTATCTTCATCTTTATATAAATATTATATGAAGTGTAACTCCATTAGGAAGAGTCAAAGGAAATTCAGAAGGACGTTTTCTGGGTCTGAGATACCCACAGAAGAAACACTATTCAGAATCTTGTCAAGACAGTAAGAAGAGCTGGTGCATTAACAAACAGAAAATAAAAACATAAATTTCAAAAAGATAAAAGAAAATTGGAGCTCAGCTTGAGTATTCATGTTGTCTCTTGCGTGTTGTACAAGAAACGGTAGTATCAAAATCGACAGCAAGAATGACTATGAAAGTACTAAAACTACGGCCCCACAAAACAACAGTTGTGCACTCACGGATTGCATCCATGACATCCAGAAACCAGACTTAATTTCTGTAACTGGTATTTGGAGTCAGTGAGGATACTTTAAAACTAAAGCCTATCAAACCAATCAACACATGGAAGAACTCAGAAAATAATTCATTCTTAAGTATCCTACATTTATTTTATTTTTATTTGTAGTATTCTGTCTGACGACAGGTCCATATATTATGAACAGGATCCTTCCAACCTCTTCAGGTTGTCAGGGACCTGCTCATACATATATACATTCTTGGCAGAGATGATCAGAAGTGGTTTGCCATTGCCTTCTTCTGTGTGTGAGTGGAGTAATTGTTGGGATGCCACGGAGAAACCGGGGAAGCCCCCGGAGGAAAATTCCGTGTTGCCTAGACCACGGCCTTGCCCAACACAAGTTATAAATTTGAGCACCACCGGGAATTGAACCCGGGACCCCAGGCTTACAAGGCTAGTGTTCTGACCGCTAGACCACCGTCCTACATATCCAAACAAAATTACATGTGAGCCACATTCTGTTTGGAATGTGTGGGGAATGTATCTGAGCCAATAAAGAACATTTTAAGCATATCCTGTAATATAGGTAAGTAAACTTCACTCTACAATGTTACTGCAGCCTCACTATCATGGCAGCTGAACTGCTAACACAGCTATCATTAGTGTTTGAATATAGTGTAATAATCATGTCTCAGCTTAGGAGCCATAAAAATCTGCCTGTAAAGCTACAACTTAGTAAGGCTCATATCAGATTTCAGAGTTTTAAAGACTTTTGGTCTTTAATCACTGAACTACCATCAAAGATATTCCTGTCCTGAGTTTAGGAAGTCATGCCAGCCTGTATCACTAATAATGAAGAACAGCCAGTGAACAAGATGAAAATAAAAATTATGAACTAAATAAGAACTGAAATCTATATAGCATACCTCCATTTTCTTCATGTAAAAAAAGACTCTTACATCACCCAAAAGCACAAAAAATGACCATGAATAGACAGCTTTCTCCTAGACTATAAACAATAAAATGAGATAACAATAAAGCACCTTCACCATATACATATTTGAAAGAGTTCTAAACAACTGGGTACATTATGCTGAAAAGAACTTAAATATATTTACAAACAACATATATTCAGAGCAATTTTCGGAATTAAATAGTAACTTTCTAATGGCATATCACATTCATGGAATGCTTATTAGAACTGGAACTGTAAAAATATAAACAATGGCAAATTTACAAAACAGCATTTTCATGACCAAAGATTTACTAATGTCATTATCTAAACAACGGGATGATTTCATCTTCAAACCATAAAACCATATTCATTATGGTAAACCTGATGAATTGAACAACCAGTACAAAAGTTTAAAATGCTTTGAACCCAGTGTTGTGTAAATGAAACCAAATTCTGTTAAGTGTCACATTTAAAGGAAAAGTATTAACTCAAAACAAAATCAAACTACGTAGGGCAGTCAAAAAGTTCCCGGAATTGTGGTATAGCACTGTAATGGTAGGACATCTGGCAACTCTTACCTAATCACCTTCAAAGTAGGACCCTTGCGCACACGCACACACTTGCTCCATCAATCCTGCCATTGTTGGAAGCACCGGCGGAAGGCTTCGTTTGGAATCTTCCGGAGTTTGCATTCGACACCTCGCTTATTGTGCAGCAATTCCTTGCCAAGAAAAGCATTCCCGTCATCACCCAACCACCATACTCTCCGGATCTCACTCCGAATGACTTCTGGCTGTTCCCTACTCTGAAAATGGGCCTCAAGGGGGCGCATTTCGCAACTCTCGTAAATACTGACACCAAGTGGAAAATAAGATGAATGTATAGTCTTACATCAAACCATGTAATAACAGTTTCAGTACCACAAAACAAATACACATAAATTAACATGTCAAATAATATGGGTATTATATGAAAACATCTAATTTATTGTGCTTCAACTTTTCAATTAAAATAAATTTCATAGTGACACTACCATCAGTCACATCACACTAGTTGTTCCACCCAGATGCCTTTCAAACCACTAATTAAATTAGGAACACAAAATGTATTTTTAAAAAATCTGCAGGATTTTTAACTCAACCTACAAAATAATCAAGTATTTTCTGTTTCTGCTCTGCCATTCATATCATCAACAATAAAGAAATATGAATGTCCTACCTGTGCATTACATGTCTGATGTTTCACTTGCCTTTGGACTTGCATCTTGTGAACATAGTTCTGCTCTGGTAAATAATTAATTCTCAACCAATCACGGATCCCTGACAATGTGCGGAACTCTGAATGTTGAATCCGACTCCAAGGGTTTGAGCCTGTCAAATCTAAGATTGAAATTCCCAAAGCACGACCAACCTACAATCAGCAGCATACATACAAACAAAATACATAATTATACACTGATATAACATAAAAACTCTCCATCCTCTGCACGTTACATACAAATCATTCATTTGTTTTAGTAAAATCAACTAAAATTCTAAAATAAATTTAGCAATTCTGTGTTAACAAACTTCTGGTAAGGAAGGACTAAAGTTCCAACAGAGGATTAGGGCCAGATTACAAGCTGCTAAATTAGATGGGTCTCAACATTTGACAATAAACTTAACCTTTCATGTTCTTTGATAGACTCAGTCTAATATCAGTCAGTTATATTCCATTTCAGTGTTAGGCTGAGTAGACAAAATCAATGTGTCATGCATTCACATACATGGGTATAAAGTGAGTCATCTACAGATCACATTTAAAAGAAAATCAAATAAACTCTGCATCATTCACATAAATGGACCTCAAAGCTGAGATGAATTTGAAATCTGAACAAAAGAAACTCACTGTTGGGCCACAGGAGCCCAGATTCAGTAAGAAAGGGTAAATGTATTAACTTCAAATTTCAAGATAAGCCAAGTTAATTTTTTTTCTCCCCCCAAACACAGCAGTTGCAATCGTTAGGGTGAATGTATATGGAGAGACCTTCTTGGATTAGCCAGGAGGTAATGAGTTGGAAATGAAGGATGTGACTGGAGAAACAGAAGAGCAGGGTCCTGCCCAGTCAGGAGGGAGCACATGGTTGAGGAAAAGAGGCAATAAAAAGTTTTTAGGGACCACGTGGAAAGGGGTTGATGAAAGAAATTTTAGTGATCATGTGACTTGGAAAAAAGGTGTCAATTTTGGTGACGAAGTACTTTTGATGGAGGTGATGGAAAGAGTTGTTTGCACTTATATGATTCAGAGAAGTGACTTTTATTTTAATAGTACACAGGATAGGAAAGAAACAAGGTGACAAAAGAGAAGTTGAAAGCCAGAAAGACATGAACGGAAGTTGAAAGGAAGAGGGTGAAGGAGGAGAAAAGGAGAAGAAACGGTGTCAGCAAACACAGGATTAGGAAACGGTGATGTGCTGTGTCATTCTTTTACCTTCAAAATTGTAGGAATAATTTTAATCAAACTTAATATTGGAAGTCCTTGTTCATAAGCCTCACCTGCTTCAAAGTATTTATAAGACATCAAACGTTAGCATCCACAAATTGAAAATCAAGAGACAATGGCACAGTGAACATGCTAGAATTTTTATGCTATGGATACTTCATACCGATTATATTATGATACAGTTCTTCCTGAATGGTTCTTTCCTAATTAAAAATGACTAGGTACACATTTTCCTAGTTCCTTTACCTCTTCAAATACTTGTGGTGTATACTTTGGTGGCACCATTAATGTTGCAGCAGGAGAATTCTTGCTTTCCTTCACACAGGGTGGCAAGATATTGACCAATCTTCCTGTGTTGTAATTACATTCCAGAGTGTAGCTACGAACAAGTCCTGTTGTTTTCAATACTGCTACGCGACCTGATCCTTCTCGGCTCATCCCATCACGCCTGTCTCTGTATATAATTCATGTGTTCCTTATATACGTCAAAATACATTAATAAAAATCTCTTCCAAAACTTAACTTGGCACCAGAAACAATAAAAAGATTTTATCAACCAAAATGTGTATCACAAATGTAACCGATGAACTCACTCAACAGTAATGACATGACAATGTCTTTAAAGTACTGCAGGACCCTGAAAACATGATCAGTCAGTAGCCGAGTCAAAGAGTATAATGATAAAAACTGGAGTCTTATCAGTAATAAAACTTTGTTAAAATTACATTTATTTTAGCAGATATATGTCCTAAGTTATAAAGTTTGAAAGTATAAAAGGACTTTATAAATAATAAAGTGAAGTGAAATTCAGTTGCACATTATACAGCAAACACTGGTATTTAATTGTCAGAAAGTTAAATAATTTTAATTCAATGTTAATACTTAAATGGACAAATAACTTCAATTAAGATTCCACATAATCACCTCAGATACATAATCCTCTCAGTAAAATTACATGCTGTGAAGTGGAAATTCTGAGAATTCAGCGACATGATCTTGGGCAACAACATGCATTCTATGCTGTCCTCCACATCTTCAAAGTAATTGCCATACATAAAAATTCCTGAAAATAATAAAACAAAATATAATAATAATGCTTCACTCACTTAAAAATCAAACTCTTGGTTCAAAATACAAAGAATCAAAACTTAAAAGTTATTAACAATTTTGAAAGCACACACTAACCCCTCATAAAGCTTATACATGAGAGGATGCAATGTGTTATTCCCCACAACAATGTTAATAATGGTAGCAACAAAATAAAACAAAAAATAATCAAATAGTATTCGTGTTAATGAGCATTCTACAACCACCCATAATGGTTCATAACAAAAATTCTATAACTCTGAAAGTGAATCCACTCCACAGAATACTTCACCAATTTACACAAGTTCAATCTCAATTATTCTCACACAGACATGTTTACACATACGAAGTTAGAAGACAAAATTAAAAACCAGACAATAAGAATGACTTTAGACATTAAACCATTGACAAAAAAAAAATTCAAATGTAAAACTGTTCAAACATGACCATACAGGATGGAAAATTAAAGATAACGTAAGGAAGTTTGGTAGGCAAGACAACATGGAAGAAGACCTAGTGAGAAATCAAGACAAATCCAGGAAAGAAATATTCAGAATATATTCAGAAGACGAGGAACAGGACTGAACATAACCAAATCCAACCCGAAGATCAGAAAAGAGGAAAAGCTCTTTGTAAAACCTCCATATAAGTACACAGAAAAGCATTAGTAACCAAGTAAAAAAAATAGTGAAACATTAAACAACTAATAAACTGCATGTCAAGAATGATAAGAAAATTTAACTTACACGATCTTTCTAATAAGATGCTCTACTTTTAATTGCAACCATCACTGTATTTTATGTCTCCGAGATCAATACTCCTGAGAGATTGATAATCACGTAAAACCATTTTCAATATGTTCATCATTAGCATCCAAGATCATCTGCAGCCATTAGAAATTCTGCACAACTGCAGCCTGAGTTTCTTCATTGTTGCTGATCACTGTTGCCAAAATTTCTTGCTGCAGTTCTTTTATTGTGCACAGATTATCTAAACTATATCTTTCAGAAAATCCCATAAGAAATAATTACACAGGTTCAGATTTGAAGAGTATGGTTGCCAGGATCACCCATATCCAAACCAATCAGGAAAATGATTACATAACATTCTGTCATAAAAATTAATTAATTAAAATTGGAGCATCTTTTTATAAAGACTCTGTAGTAAACATACAAAATCATAAATATTATTGCATAGAGCCCAAAATCCCTAATAGCAATACCAAGGTAACAGTTATAACAACACATATTCAGAAATATTATTCCATAAGACCCAAAATCCTTTGACAGCAAATGATTATCAACCAATGCTTGTTTATTATACAGACAGATAACAAACCCTTTTTTGAAGCATGTCCGTGTAAATCTACATACAGGAACAGGCCACTATCTTCAGGTGTAGTTGTAACTTCCTTGGAATTAACCAGATCTGACAGTCCTTCCTGAGACTTATTATGGTTTGGATCGACTTGCTGGGAGTTGACACTAAGTAAGTCTCCTGCTTCAAGCTTCAGATGTTTGCAGTTCTGTTTACTATTCCTGCCAGCACTGGCTCCTTCAGAGCTCGGTCCTATACTGTGGTCTTCATTGGATACCTTCTCACAAATACTGGTAACACTATCTGATAAACAACCACCAAAATTACCAATACTATTAAAGACTGAATCATCTGTAATTTTTTCATCCATCTGGCATGTATAAAGTGGAATTGAAGACACTTCAACAACTGATGGTATATTTCTAAGCAAAGATTTTTCAGGCAGGGCTTCGGCAAGAACAGAAATGGATCTGTTGCTATATTTGGATACAGCATCATTGTTACCTACAATATTCAGTCTATCCTCATGAACTCTGGAAATCACATCCTTTTTTTCTTCCATCGCCATATTTATACTGTTATGCAGTGATAAATCTGCACTGTTATTAGTGTTTGGTGTAAAGTAATTCAGGTATTCGTTTTGCTTTTCATCTAAGCTAAGACCTGACACTTGGTTTTCTATGTTGGAAATTCTGTTTGTATCAGATAGGTGTTGTAAATCTTCTTTGTTGTTCCTTACAACATCTTGTTTTTCAGAACTCAAAGACTCGAGAGAAGACACAGTAACAGCACCACCATATTTTAGTTCCTCTATTTCACTTACACTTAATAACAAATTACTTTTACAATCCACATTTGGAATCACAGAATCCATTGTACACTCCTCTTCTATTTCTTTACCATGGTGGTAATATCGTATCAGTGAACGTGCAGCATATACTGAAGGATGTAGTTCAAACACTGGATTCAAATACACACGATTCAAATTGACACCTCGTGTATCAGTGCGGTAATGACCCTGGGAGACTCCATCTGGATTTAACATTGGAATTAGTTTGAACACATACATTTTCCTCAGCAGAATAGCCAATGGGTCATCACGTGCTAACAGAAGATTCAATAAGCCATTCAGAACAAAGCTGGATGGTGTTTCACCTGGATGTACTCGTGCACTAACAAACACAACCTGCAGAGGCAAAATAAAGTAAATTATATTAATATAATATTCAATTAGGTATTTGATTCAACAACAGAGATCGTTATGGGACAAAAAATATCAATGACAGATTTAAATGTACTATTTATCCCCTACCAATAACAACCCTTGCATTTCAAACACAGAAGTATGTTCCCTAGCATAAATCATCCAAGGAATGATGAACACTTGTCATTTCTTGTGGAAATACATCTGAAAATCATAAACTGAAACTTGCAGTAATTATAAAAGAAATAAAAAATGGCACCAAAGCAAGCTATGCATTCCTAACCATTATTACAAGCAGAAAGAGCATGGATGGATATGCAGATATTTAAAATTGGTGCCACATGCATTTCATTCCATTAGTTCAGTATGTCCGGAAAGACATAGGATTACTACAGAGAGTAGTCTTGCTGCCAGACGATGCTCCTTCTCATCCAACAGAGAGTATACAGACTTCAGACAATGGCCTCATCAATGTAAAGTTTTTGCCCCCAGTGCCACAGCTATTATATATCCAACAGACCAAGAAGTAACTGAAACAACACTACCAGGCTGGCCTTCCCAAAACTGTTGCTAACCTATATTTTCAACAGTAACATTTTTTGATTTATTTCAAAAATAAATTTTCTTCACAAAATATCATTACAGTGAAACCTCGATGCATCGTTTTCGGCGGGGGTGGGAAATAAAAACGATGAATGCGGGAAAACGATAGATGCGGGAAAGCATTAAAAATTTTAAAAAAAACAATGTTTCTCTTTCAAAGTTACTTCTTTTTACCAAAAAAGTCTTTAATGGACAACTGGTTTGTTGAAACTTTACGTTTTAGACCAAACAGAGCACTTTCCACGTTCAAAAGGTTTTCCTCGTCACGTTCACTAATATTAAGCGCATAAAAGAACGACTTCACTTTCACCAATGCAGCGTGTACTTCGGCAAAACTCGGCAAAGCTTCGGGCTCGCATTCGTCGTCTCCCTCTTCCTCACCACTCCAACCCCCTTTGCGGACAATAACAGGAAGAATGGAAATACTATTACTGCCGAAC